AAGGCACCAGGGGGCCCAAAATCTAATCATTTCTAGGTCTTATAAAGACCTACCCACCTACCAAGTTTCACTCCAATCCATCCACTGCTTCTTGAGTTATCTTGCTAAACCACACACACACACACAAACACACACACACACACACACACAAACGCTACTGAAAACATAACCTTCTTGGCGAAGGTAATAAATAAAGGAACAACTAAATTAAATACAAATTTTTGCACTGTTTAGTGAATGTGACTTGACACAGACTGGCAGATGTTCTTCAGGAATGTTTTACTTCAAGGATGTTCATCCAATATGTTTACATACTGTCAGTAAGACCAATGTGGTGTTGATTGGTTTCTAGACTAAAGAGTAGAAAACCTAGGAGAGAGTTAATTTAAAAGCTCATGGGTTCGATTCCTAGCATTGCTGGCTAGACAAAAGTGTCTAGGTACACAGCGCTAACTAGACCTTTACCTTGTACATGTCGTTAACATTCTATCTCTTTGTTGTGTAATTTTCCCTCTGTTTTCCCAGGCTCCTATGTACTACAGGAAAGTCAACACAGCTCTGCTGGTTTAGGATATAACCTGCAGGGAGAGTTTTCTTGGGTAGATGGTACGTATGTCATGATTGCTTCTTTAATAGTGCTAGTAGTGAGAAAAAATGTTGTTTTCAATGTCAGCATGAGTTTTTGATTAGGTACTACCAGGTGCTTCAGTATCAACATGAGGAAATTTCCATTACATTTTCTTTATCAATCAATTGTTCCTTACCTGACCATACTTTCTTCGTCCTGTTGTGTCCCACACATAGAAACAAATACAGGACAGACAATACTCAGTGGGGAAAGTCGTGTAAAGTGCCTTTCCCAAGAGCACAAGATCGGTGGCATGTCAGGACTCGAACCAGGGACCTCTTGGTTCCGAGTCGGGCACTCTATCGTTAATTGCGCCACACGACCCCACAATATACTTCAAACAAATAGAAATCACCATAAACTTCGTTTAGCTGGTGTTAAATAAGTTCAAATCGAAAAGAATGAATGAGAACTTTTGTGTTTCTTAAACAAAGCAACATCTATAGACCTTCCGTTATTTCAAGCAAGCGACTTGAGTAGGCGGTCCATTCCCCCTGTGAGTTGCTAGAAGGGAGCGTCTCTCCTTCGTAGTTGATGACTTGGACTGATGGGAAAACCAGCAACCCCTCTCCGTTCTGTGTTTCCTGTAACATTAAAGATATTTCAAACAATAGCATATAGCACTATTTTGTGGGCCTGTATTTCTTTTACGTAACAAAAAACAACAACTGAAAAAAGTCAGTTTTTAGGACAATAAGTCATAAAGGCATTTTGTTCTTTTACCTGTGGATAAAACGGTGGTTGTTGCATAAAACATGAGTCCTCCTCAGGCATCTGTATGGGGACAAGGGGAAAAAATTGAACTTATGTACCCAATTATTCAAGTATAGCTACTTACGACTTGCATAAAAAAGCTCTTATAATTTCTGTCAAATTCTTTTATTTATTTATTTATTTATTTATTTGTGTCAACTTTGTTACATAAAAGTGACTGGACAGGGGAAACATGACAAATCATTTAGCCTAGCCCATATTTTGCTGCCCCCTGTCCAAAACAAAACATATTAAAAGATAGGTACAATAACAACCTATAACAACAATGATAATAATAACAACAACAGTAGTACTAGTTGTAGAATCACAAGAGGTATGCAAGGCATGAACACTTAAAAACTTGAAGACAACAAATAAAACTGGTAACGACTAATGGTAATTAAGCACATATAGTGAAAGTGAACTTTATTTGCTTTTCGCCTCCAATGGGCTATGGCAACATACAAATGTGCAAACAAACACATACATACATACAACGTACTGACTGAATGAAAATAATCACAACAAGAGTTCCGAGATCTCATACCTCCATGAAATATGGGCTTGATATGTAAATGTAAATTTCTTCTTTAATTACGCAAATGACGTCTGCATTAACATAATATATGCATCGTGATGTTAACTTTTGATTAACTTAAAGATGTCCCAAGTATGACATTCCCATCATTCACCATTGAGAAATCATAGATTTTTTGCATTAATTATGCAAATTAGGTCATCATTTGCATAATTAGTATCTGTTGATGTTCCATCTGCCATAGGTTACATACCTTACATGTATGAAAGTTCTATAATGTAAAACACTGTAATTATAGACTTTCCTCCTTAATTATGCAAATAAAGTCCTCATTTGCATAATTTGCAGTTAATTATGTACATCTCTCTGCCAGATACCTACACACCAAAAATGATGAAAATACGCTGTTCCTATCTGGACTTATTGGCTTTCAAAGATTTCGCCCGAAAGTCCCCTGCAGTTCCTGAACAAGCTGCTAGGGAGACCAAACCCACACCACTTATCCCTTACAGGAAAAGCTATCTGTCACCAAAAATTCAAGACCATAGCATGTTCAGGACCAAAGATACAAAAACCGGAAGTTCTGCTGCAGTACCAAGGTCATCCACCAGGAGGCCCATATTTGACCTTGACCTTTGTCTTCCTAAGACTTATCAGCATACCAAATATCATCACAATCCATAAAGGCGTTATGAAGTTATGCTGACTACAAAGTTGCGGAAACACACACAGACACACAGACACACACACAGACACGCACACACACAGACACACAGACAGACGCCGCCAAAAACAATACCTCCACAATTTATAAATCAACGATAAAAAAAATCAACTAGTTAACCTATGTAAAGAAAATATAACTGAAGTCAGGATTATCAAACCAAGGTCTCAATCAATAGAGTGTAACTTCTGAATGAAATAAGTTGTAAACAATAAAACAAGTAGAACGACATATAACAAAATTTTAAACCATTAATAGAAGGCAAGGAAAACAAATTTGAACATAAATTTGTAACCTATCAATTAAAACAACAAGATCAAATTATAACATTATATAAACATCAATAAAACAAGCAGTGAGAACAAAATGTAAATCATCAATAAAACAACAGGGGAACATCACGTAGACAAGGACGACGAAGGCTGTGAATGTTGAACATTGGGGCTGAGGAGTTGTTGCCTAAATGTGAATGCCTTATGTACAAATTTTCCTAATTTTCTGATTATATCTACAGTGGGGCCTTTAACTAGATCTTAAAATTTATGTGGGTCTGGCCTGGTACTGTAAAATGCGGGAAGGTATTGTCTTCTCAGCGTACGTAGTGCTTTGGTGCTGGGCATTCCATAACAAAATGGTACTCATCCTCTATTACGCCTTCCTCACACAACTGGCACAGTCTTTCCTGTCTTTTAATCTTCGCATGTCTTCCTCTCTCTATATTAAGGGTGTGAGTGGAGCATCTTAACTGGGCTAATGCCTTCCTATTAGTAAACACATTTATGATATTTAAATACTTTTCTGAACCAACTGTCTTTAATTGAGCAGTATGTTTCTAACCTATGTGTGCTTGATATACAACTTTAAGAAAAGGTAACAACGGAAAGCATAAAGGCTAATGATAATGGTCAAATAAAGCAAAAAACAATGCGAGAGCTACGAGGAAAGGGTGCACCACGTGTATGTGCTTGCAGGATCAACTTTATGAGATAAATACTGATAGTTTTATTATGAAACTTTGCCACATTTGTTGAAGGGTTGACATCATAGGTGAATATTACTTCTGCAAAATGTCGAACCTGAGGTTTCTTGTAGATTGATACAGGATCCTGATCCAGGGCTCTAGCCAGCTCAATTTCAAGCCTTTAAAAATACAATTTCCAACATTTTGACAGGCAGATCATGGGGTTGAGAGTGGCTATTGGCAGATGTTGTCTATAATTGGCCCTTTGCATTCGGTGTCAAACCAAGGTTTACCGCAAACGCCACAACCAGCACAGACGGAAGTCAGCAACCCTTCTTGTGTCAAGGAACAGCTAAGGGGAAGGCTGTGAGCTGTTTATAGGGTTGCTGGCTTCTGTCTGTGCTGGCTTTTGTCTTTGCTTTTGGTGTCAAATTTCGCACTCTCGCATTAGATTTAGGGTCACAAAAGAATGTCATCCAAGCAGTACTCCACCTGTTGCACCGACGTCACGTCTTGCATAAGCTGGAGGATTGGAAGCTCTGTGGACCTTTCCTCGCTGGTAGGTGTCTGGTGCCCTGGGCTGGTAAACCAACTTGCCACCTCAGTTCCCAGAAGTGTACAGTGCGCTACTAAGTTGGCATCGGATGAGCCTACTCCGTGGTATGTGGCCATTTGACTTCCGGGCGTTTCTATGAAACGATCTCGTTCCGGCTGAAACCAATCCAATTAAGAAACTGTTTTAGTATTTAAATAGAATTCTATATAAGTTCATTTAAGGCCATGTTGATTCGATTACATGGATGACAATTGCGCTGAAAGTGTGACAATTGCGCGCGCAGCAATTTCCCCCCGTTTAAAGAAATGGTTCAAAACATAAAATAAATCATACAAAGCAGCTGCAAAATGAGAAAATATATGCCGTATATTGCAAAAATATATTGCAGAAAAATACATTCAATATAGATTTTAATATGTAACATACCAACGATAAGAAACCAGGATCTAAAATAGAAAAACTGTGGAATATACTGTTCAGTACAATCAAATCAACATGAATGTAATCCGTGAATGTAATTCATGAACTTGGCATTCATAATAAATGATTTATGATAATTAATAGTATCAAAATTAAATATGATACCATACTTACATTTTTAGATACACGTTCAGATACTTGTCCGGGTAGGGTTGCTGGATGACAGTTGTTATCGGTTTTTATATGTTTTTGTAGGTCACACTTGTCACAGGACATTTTTCCACATTCCCTACACATATAGGGTTTCTCAACAGCGTGTTGTTCTAGATGTAGGTCCAAAGATGATTTCCGTATCTTGTAGGTTTTTTCTGAATGAGGTTTCATATGTCTTGATAACATCGATTTGTGTGCTGTCCTGACTCCACACTCAACACACATGTAGGGTTTCTCACCGTTGTGGCTTGCTAGATGTCGGTCTAAATTAAATTTCCGGGATGAAGAATAGTCACACTGGTCACACTTGTGAGGTTTTTCTCCTGTATGAGTTTTTATATGTCGGGATAACTCTGATGTTGCAACTGTCCTGTACCCACACTCCCCACACATGTAGGGCTTCTCACCAGTGTGTCTTGCAAGATGTTGATCTAACTGGCATTTTCGTGCTGCAGAATAGTCACACTGGTCACACTTGTGAGGTTTTTCAACTGTATGAGTTTTTATATGTCGGGATAACTCTGATCTTGCAACTGTCCTGTACCCACACTCCCCACACATGTAGGGCTTCTCACCAGTGTGTCTTGCAAGATGTTGATCTAACTGGCATTTTCGTGCTGCAGAATAGTCACACTGGTCACACTTGTGAGGTTTTTCTCCTGTATGAGTTCTCATATGTCGGGATAACTCTGATCTTGCAACTGTCCTGTACCCACACTCCCCACACATGTAGGGCTTCTCACCGGTGTGGCTTGCTAGATGTCGGTCTAAATTAGATTTCCGGGATGAAGAATAGTCACACTGGTCACACTTGTGAGGTTTTTCTCCTGTATGAGTTTTTATATGCCGGGATAAGTGAGACCTGTAAGCTGTCCTGTACCCACACTCCCCACACATGTAGGGCTTCTCACCAGTTTCTCTTGCAAGATGTTGATCTAACTGGCATTTTCGTGCTGCAGAATAGTCACATTGGTCACACTTGTGAGGTTTTTCAACTGTATGAGTTTTCATATGTCGCGATAACGACTGTTCGTTTAAATGTACTTTATGTGCTGCTAAATAGTCACACTGGTCACACTTGTGGGGGTTTTCTCCTGAATGAGTTTTCATATGTCTTGATAACCTCCATCTATCAGCTGTCCTGAATCCACACTCCCCACACATGTGGGGCTTTTCTCCGGTGTGTTTCGTAAGGTGTTGGTCTAAACGTGATTTACATTTTGCAGAATAATCACACTGGTCACACTTGTAGGGTTTTTCTTCTCTATGAGTTTTTGTATGTCGGGATAACGCCGATCTGACAGTTGTACTGTATCCACACTCCCCACAGATGTAGGGCTTCTCACCGGGTTTTTCTCCTGTTTGAGTTTCCATATGACAGGATAAGTGGTACCCGGAAGCTGTCCAGTATCTGCACTCTACAAATGAATGAATGAACGAGTGTTTTAAGCGTTTGTGAACCTTCACTTGGTATTTCTTTGAACCAGACTAGTCACACTGTTCACATGTGCACTTGTTGGTCTTTTCTCCAGTATGCGTTCTCATATGCCGGAATGATTTAGAACTGAAGGCATTCTGGAATCCACGATGCTGACATATAGTAATAACGTAGTAACGTTGCAATACTCAGTGTCGTCCATATATTCCCTATGAATGGAAAAAAAATCGAAGAAGGAGTTTTGTTTTTCATAAAATATAAGCTTCTAAAACGCACAAGTGTTTTCTATGTCTGTCTCGGAGTTGGAACTTTTGTACCTTGTCTTAAGATAGTTTACTTTTAACTTTAAAGGAAAGCGACACAAAAAATTTTAAAGCCTAATATATTACGGTAAATGGCATCATTTGAAAGCTCTCTCGACCAGAAGTTGTAAAGTGCCAAACGTTTTTCGATATCATCTTTCTTTGGGGAGTTGTAAGCAATTGAGAGTTGCCCTCTTCTGCTGCTGTAACCATAACCCTAGGCAAAGTCTTTAAATCGTGGTATGATTCGAAATCTATATCTCTCTCTGCCGTGAGTTGAAAATTAAAATCGTTTGTCGATATCATTCCATCGTGTGGAGTTATGGGCAATTGACGGAAGTTGGGCAGTTTCAAAAGCCGCTGTCGTGCGGCAAAAATGCCCAAAGGTTAACAGATTGATTAAAATACGCTTCAAAACTGTCCTACTGCAAACGATTAATCAGTCAGCCAAAACGGCAGGACAGTAACGAACAGCACGTCAGCAGCAACGCACATAGGTACAATGTCCGTCAGGCATAACTATCTATTAGTTTAGCAAGAGCAGAAGATAATCTAAGAAGCATGTAACACGGGCAGGTAGAAAACGCAAGCAGGTCAACTATATTAACGTCAAAGGTAAGGACGTTAAACACATCACGGAGTCTTGCATGAGATCGAATACTTTAGCGCACGATTGTTCTATTCCCGGCGTAGGAACCAATGTAAGGTTTAGTACAGCTGTATTGGTATATCTTAGCGTCTGTACAACTTACTAAGAACAAAGTACACACGTACACGTACCTTGGCTTCTAGGTCTCGACTAACTTGCAAGCCCCTGGCTAAACTTGCCTTACAGTGGCAAAAACCTGATTGGCTAGTCTGAACTTACCAATCAGGGCCTACCACTAACTCATTACAATGCAATTTGCACACTCACCACAAACAAACCGTGCGCATGTCCTTTGACGAGCGTCTCCCCTGGAGTACATGCCAAACATTCCAAGTATTCAACCCAGATCAGGGCCGATGATTGGCCCAAAATAATGGTGATACGGTTATGCATCCTGCCGCGTACTACAATCTTAAAATAAACTTGACTTACATCATTTCTTCGAAGCTTCACCACCTCATTTGCTATGGAAGGAAATAAATTTCTTTAACAGGTATAGATTGTTTTTTGTTTACTTACAACATCAGAGGTGTGATAGTAACCGGATGTGCTCAGGCCAGTCAAGGCCTGTGACATTGTATCGAATATAAACGTGTCCAACTACCCGGTGACCGCAGATAACCCCGCGGGTACTTGGCGTTCTTAGTATGGTCCAATGTTCCAACGGTTACCTCGCTGCCACTTAGTACAGTAGAGGCATCATCACTAGATAGTCTTAAACAGTGCTTAGAGCTAGACGTCCAAAGGTTAGGTGTAACAAGTCGTTTGGTGTGATGTAGCCAGCTGCCGCCGCGCCGCGTGCCTGCGAAGCTGGTGTGATACGCTGAAGGGCGGGTATACCGGCTAAGATACAGATACCATCCCCAAACAGACCACCAATAAAAGTAAATACAAGTAAATTTGTTACAGACCAAACCCCATGCACACTCTTTTTTGCTCAGCCCACCTTTTCAGGAAACCCTAAAGCCTGGCAGGCTAGCCAGGCCCGGCCTGGCCTGGCCTGGCAGGAACCCAGCCTCTTCCGTAAATCCGTACCTGACAATGTGTATAAATTCATTACCTTCGCCAAGAATTGGCAGAAGGTTATGTTTTCGTGGCCGTGTGTGTGTGTGTGTGTCTGTCAACAGCATAACTCAAGAACGCTTTGATGGATTATCTTGATATTTGGTAGGTAGGTGGGTCTTGATGAGACCTCGAAATGATTAGATTTTGAACGGTGGGAACGGTGGGAGACCCGACGACGATCCCGAGCTCAAGTCGGTGACTTTCTTGGTCCCGAAAAGGCTGAAGGTGCGGCAGGTAGAGTTGCTCGTGCAGACCGTCGAGTCGAGGGTGTGTGCACTTTCCCCGGCCCGAAGTCAGGATCGGACGCAGGACAGTCGCCCCGCACGTGTTAACTTGCCTCTTGTGGAGGTGGCCCGATCTCCAATAAGCTCACCAACTCAAAACCCTCATTTGCTGCCAAAGTTAAGGAAAAAAGGACAGGGATAGCGGACCTACAGTGTGCTGCAACCCCTACCACTACACGAGAATCTGCGGACCAGAAAGTCCGCCGCCGCCGTATTCAAGATATTCGCTGTATTCAAGATATCCGCTGGAAAGACTCAGGACGCTCAGTCCAGAAGAATCTGTTAATTCTAGTACAGAAACTGGTGCCTCCCTGTTGTGCGTTCTTGTCTATGGATGGCTATCATAGACGCTCGATTCAAGCAGATAGATCAGTCGGAGTGAGAGTCGACTTGAAACTTTATTCTACAAGTACTCCAGATGTTCTCAACTCTAATGTCCCATGATGCTTTGTTCACATATATTATGTAGGCAAGGCCCTTGTGGTGTATAGTACTTTTGCCTGATGATCTAGGTCATAGTATCTAGTACAATGTATAACATCCCTCTCTTTTTCAGATTTGATCTTATTCTGCTGACTAGTCTGATATTAACTCAATCTATATATGAATTGTCCATAGTTCAATGTTCTTGTCCAGCTCTCTTTTCTTCTGCTTGGTTTCTACTACTATCTCTCTATCTAGTATATTGTTAGAGGGGTATACATATGTTTCATGCAACTTGTTAAGTTTTAACATGGCTTAGAGGCCTTACATACATTAGTATCATCTTTACAACTGTTTTGATGATTGTCTACTCAATATGACTGTTTTGACTTTGGCAAAGTGTTCGTTGTTCTGGCTTGACAGTTCTTTTTGAGTCTTGGCATTTGTAGTTGGATGGTTGGTCTTGCTAGTGGTCTGTATAAATCTTATATTATTAGTAACAACAACTTTCTACTAAATCTAGGAACATTTCCTAAAGCTAGTGGCACATCAGAGCGAAGGTGTTGTGCCAGCAGAAACCTTGGGGTTATTCTGCCCAGTGTTTGGTAACTGCTTTCTAACACTATACTAACAGTCTCTTTTCCGCTTTATTCAAGTCCGTTAGCGGTAACGTTTCGGAGGCAGGATGTTGGTTCTGCTCCTCGTTGATTTTGTTGCGCATGGTGTTGTCACCGTTGGTGTTGGTGTCTCGGTTGTTGTTGTTGTTGGTTGTGCAGCTGCCTCGTTGTCAGTTGTCGTGGTTGTTGTTGTCTCTTTCTTTGCTGGAGACATGGTTGTGGTTGCCTCTGGTGTCGGTCGGATGTGTACTCGGTTTCTCCGCATCTGTTTGCCGGATTCGGTTTCCACAACGTATGATTTTGGTGTGTCGGCTTTTCCGACGATCTGGCCTGGCGTCCAGGTCTTCTTTATGGGCTCTTGTATGTGCACGGTTTGACCTCTGACTAGCTCTGGTAGTCGTTGTGCTTGCCGGTCATACTGCTTCTTGCTCTTCTCTTGTGCTGCCGTCAGCTTGCCCATCACTTCTTCTTGGTCTGCAGGAGGGTGTACCTTTGTTGGTAGTCTGGTCTTGTATCTTCTTCCATTGAGCAGTTCTGCTGGCGATTTTGTGTCTGTTCTCAGTGGTGTTGTACGCAGTGTTAGGAGTGCCAGGTTTGGGTCTTCTCCTGTCTCTAGACTCTTGGTGAGGGTCTTCTTTACCGTTTGTACTTGCCTCTCTATGAATCCGTGCCCCTTTGGGTAGTAGGGTGAAGAGGTGGTTATTCTGAACCCGTACTCTTCAGCTGCTTGTCGGAACTCTTGAGAGGTGAATTGTGTTCCATTGTCGCATATCACTTCGTCAGGTATTCCTTGTTCTGCGAAGATCCCCTTGAAAGCTTGTGTTACTGTTGAAGCTTTCAAGCTCTTGAGGGTCTTGACAATCGGGAACTTGGAGTAGTAGTCTACTACTAATAGAAACCATTTCTGGTTGAGGTAGAACAGGTCTGCCCCTAGTTTCTTCCACGGTCGACTTGGTGTCTCCGTCGGGGTCATCTCTTCTTTCTGTTGGGAGTTCTGGTATTTTTTGCATGTGCGGCATGTTTGTACCATCTTCTCGATTTCCTTGTACATGCCGATCCAGTATACTGCTGACTTCGCTCGCAGTTTGCATTTCTCTTCTCCCATGTGTCCTTCATGTATGGTTTGTAGGACTTCTTTCTGCAGTGATTTGGGGATGATTATCCTCGATCCTGCTAGTAGTACTCCATTCTCTATCGAGATATCGTCCCTGATGGTCCAATACTCTCGGATGAGTGGCTGTACCTCGCTCCTCTTCTCTGGCCAACCTCGTGTGATCGTCTGGAGCTCCTCGTCCTTGCTGGTTTCTTCTTGTATCTGTTCCAGCTTTGTGGTTGTCACATTGACAAGGTGGTGTATCTGGACTTTGAGTCCTGCCATCTCTTCTTTCTCGCTTGGAGATAGCCTTGACAGGGCATCTGCTACCAGCATTTCGTTGCCTGGTTTGTACTTGAGGTGGTAGTCGTACTCCTGTATCCTCAGTAGTAGGCGTTGTAGTCTTGCTGGTGCTTTAGTGAGATTCTTCCTGTCAATCTGCTCTAGCGGCTTGTGGTCGCTCTCGATTGTGAAACGTCTTCCGTATAGGTACGTCTTGAATTTCTCACAACCGTATACTACTGCCAACATCTCTCTCTCGATGTTTGCGTACCTCGACTCTGCAGGTGTGAGTGCTTTGGAGGCGAACGCTATTGGGCGACCCTCTTGTAGTAGCGCTGCGCCTACTCCCTTCATCGAGGCGTCTACCTGTAGAGTGACTGGTTTCTCTCTGTCGTAGTACTGCAGGGTTGATGTCTTCACTGATGAGCTGCTTGATTTTG